GGCGATGCCCGTCATGCGGCGGCGGGACTCGGAGCTCCCGCCGCCGCAGCGTCACGAGCACAGCCTCTCTCTGAGCTGGGAACTCGGACGGGGATTAACGAGGCCCCAGACGGGACAGGGTCTCGTGCGGGAAAATGACGCCTACAAACACGGGTTACTCGTACGGGCATGGGAAGAAACGTGTTTTAGCGTCTCTTTGAGCACGCCTCTGCTGCACGTTTATCTCGGTCGCATCTCGAAGTGTCTGCGGCGTCAGCTTTGACATATCCGGAAACATCTATGTGGGTTGTATGCTGCGAAACCATGCGACTACGAATTCTGTGATCGTTTAAGATAGATAGTAGCCAATATGTTATGTATGCACAATGATTTGCGAACAAATACATTGTCGAATTGTGAAAAGTGATGAATAGGATGGCGGGGACATTTCGACGCACGTGGAGCTCACAGTCCATGACGTCACGCCCCAGCCGCGCGCTGACACACGTACGTTGCCGGCCAGCTGAGTTCTGCAGAGCGGCCGCCGGGCTTACCTTGGTCCCCGAAGGTGCGGTTATCGCCCGAGGCCACATAGCCGGCGGCGAACTGGACGAAGGCGCCGGGCTGACCGCACAGGCCAGACTGGTGGGTCCAGGGGGCCGAGCCGTACACGGGGTGAGCGGTGCTGACCCGCAGGTCAGAGGTCAGGTAGCTCTCGGTGGTGGCCTGACCCGGCGGGTCGGCGCCCGTGCAGCTGCGGGGCCACGAACTGGGCACCACTACCGTCACGTCACTGAAGAACGCCCGCTGATTGGTCGCCGTGTACAGGTAGGACGACGCGTTGTTGATCAGCGTCTGGAATATAAGAATGCAGAGTTGAGGGTCGTCTGGCTACGCTACGAATCGATACAGCGCCATCACTAGTCAAGATGACACCTGGCTCCGGTAAAACGTCAGTTATATCAACACCCCGTGCAGACTCACAGCGCTCCACATTTGTTTACGATAAAACCATCCGTGGAGGTGCCCGTCGCGCACCTTACAATTAACGTCACGTGAACAAGCCGCCGGCTATGCCAACCCGCCAATTAGACAGCTGACCCCATAAGTCGCTCAGCCGGTACACCCGCTCCAATCACCGCCTTGCTAACCGCTCTGTTTTCATGTACGGCGGGCGCCGATCTGACCTTGATATGTCCCAGCGGCGTCAGTGCGCGCGCATTCTCTGTCACACTAGCTGGGGGCGGCTTCGCCGGCTCGCTAACCCGCTCTCACGTTGCAGGTGCGCGTCACACTCCCCGGCCTCAGCGGTGGAATGTTCCCCGAGTTAGTCATCCGTTGTGCGGTGTGAACCTGTGCCCGGCGCCAGCCGGTCGGCCTCGAAGGCTGCTGCGGCATATTCTCTGCGCGCGATCATCACCGCACCACCGCTGAAGAGGACGCGACCCCAGCGCCGCCGCACGGCATTTTCGATTGGCGTTTTTTTTTCGTATATTGAGGGAAAGGGGAAGGAAGAGGGAGGGGGTATGGCCCGTCCACTTCTGAGTTGAACACAATCTGAACGGCGATTCATGTAAATAACCGATCTGGAACAGGAGCTCGGTCCGTCCCGTTTATCATGACCTTGCCAGAAGTCCGGGTTGAAGGTGACATCCTGACCTCTGCTCAACTCAGTTCACCGTCCGTAGTGCAATACTCGACCGCCATTGAATAACTGCAGCAGGCGGGCGGTTTTAGCTGCCGGTAACTGGCGTCCCCTCGTCGGAGGTATCCAGCGTGCAGTGCACGTGGCTCCACCCCGTCCTGCGGTGGATTTAGACCGCGCCGGCCGACCCCGCCCGCCGGCCTGCCCGCCCGGCCGTGGCCGATAAATAATGTACGCATGACACAATCAATGGATGGGAACAAAGGGCGGGACAGGGCGTGACGTCACACATCCGTTGAGCGGGTGGCGGGCGCGCTGCGCACGGTCGTGGCGTGTGGCGTGTGGCCGACGGCGGCGGCGGCTGGCGCTGCGGCCGTTATCGCTGACCCGTACCAGGTGCCAACCGACGGGGCGGGGGCGGCGAGCGCCGCCCCCCCCCCCCCCCCGCCCCGGCCGTGTCCTGTTTCGCCACATCGGTTTGGTGGCCGGGGCGTGTCCCCGAGCTGCACAGCATGCACGATGTGGACCAGCAGGCGGGTGCAGGCCGGTCTCTGTCGAGTGCAGCTGTTTTCAGGCCAGGGCGTGGTTCGTTAGTGGCCTCGGACTAGCTCCGAGCTGCGGCGCGGGGAGAGTCGGAGAAACAGGCGCTCGTGCCGGTCCTGCCTATCGTCAATGCAGTCGAATTTAAGCTTGTCTCGTCACTCTCTTACCATTAAGGCTTCTTTTGCGATCAGTATAATGATCCCAGTTGTTCATGAGCCAGTCACAGGGCCCTATCTACCGTCTTCCCGAAGTGCAATGGGGATTTTTCCTTAACACGAATGACATCAACCATGCTGACCTCCGAGCAGCGGCAGGTCAGCTCGTGCTGATCCGACCAACAGTGCCGCTGTGTTCACCCGGACGCCGCCCTATCTACCGCGCTGACCGGCCCGTCAGTCTCGGCCCGGCGGTGACGAGCCGGAACACGTCACGCCCCGCTGACGTCACCACCGTCGTCACCGCCGACGTCGACGCGGATCCCCGGCATCGGCGCGTAATCCATGCGTCCACACCGCGTCCTGTTGACTCCAGATAGCTTTCTCCGGACGCGGGCAACAGTCGCCGCGAGTCAATACAGGGCGGCCATCCATCAGCTGACAGCGGGGGTCAACACGGGTCCGGCGGCGCCGCGGCCGGCGCGGGCGCCCATTGTGACGGCTGCGGCGCTCCGCCGGACCGGGCTGCCAGGTCAAGCGGCCCCCTGCCGTGCGGCCGCCGCGCCAAGCCGGACGACTAAAAAATACGGGCGCAGGGGTGTCCAGGGGGTGGCCGGGCGGCGACGGCGCGCCAACGGAGCGCCCGCCGTCGCCCGCGGCCCCAGCGGTCCGTGCCGCCGCCGGTCTGATGGATGACGCACTGCGCCAGATACGTCACGGCCGCGCAGGAATTAGCCGGCCGGCGCGTGATAGATGGCACGCGGGAGTGTGTTCTGCGCCGGTCAGCAGCGCGGCGCGGGTCAGAGGTCACGCCAGGTCACGGGTCAGGCGCGGGCCCGCGGCCGGCAGCCACCGGCGCCAGTCAGCCAGCAAGCCGCACGTCAGAGCGGCCTCACCGTCGGCGGCGGCAGGTGCTTCGACGCGCTTGGCCGGGGCTAAAACCCTGTTATTTTCTGCGAGACGTTCCCCTCCTGTTTTCTCGCCGCTCGCTTGTTAATCCCGTTTGTTTCCATCGGGCCCAGCTGCCGTGACAATAGCGCTGGCCGCCTCACCGGCTCCGTGAGCAGCCGGCGGAGATAGCCTCCGTGCGACGGCGGCCCGCCCCGATGGGAGATCGCCTCCGTGCGACGCCCCGCCGCCGCGACATCCATATTTTTAGCACTCGTCCGGCTATCATAACAAGATCGGGTGCGCTATGCGAGCCGGTGTCCGGCGGGGCGCGGCGCAGCGGGACGGCCGGCCGGCCGCCGCGGTCGGCTAATGAGGGACAGTCACCAGCGGCGGCCGCCGCGGTGGCCCGGCCGGCCCCCGGCCCCGGCCGCCCCGGGACTCCAGCATCCCACGGCTGGAGGCGCCTCAGGACGTCTCCAGCGGTCCCAGAGCGTGCCTTTCGAAGGGATTGGTCTCGCGTCGGCTTCGTGTGGCACCTCGGGCCAGTGGCGTTACCAGGCCGCGGCAGCCAGGCTTGGACTTCGGAGCGACGTATTTGCACAGCTTAGACGTGGATTGTTTTACTGTTGATAGTGGGCAATTCGGAAACAAAAAACACGCTATAAACGCTGTGCGCAGATACGCTGATACAAGAAAGCAGCAGCCGGCTGTTTTTTTTTTGAGTGGTGGTTTCTGATCACCAGATAGGAACAACGATTGGCAGAAGTCGTGCTGTCCTGTGCACCTGATATCAGCCCAGACAACATTCACGCCATTTTCGCAGAGAGCAAACAGTCGCCGCTTCTGAACGCGGGCCCGGCATGGAGGAAAACCCAATCGGGTGTTCCGCACAAGGCCAGCGGTGCTGCAGGGTCCGGCTTCCGCTGGCAGCAGAGAGAGCGGACACACCTGGGCCAGCTATGCCGCTGCTCGGGCTGCCTGTCCGTCCCGACGCAGTGATGGCGTCAGTTCAGACGAGGCCGTCGTCCGCCCTCTGGCGGCTCGAGGTTCCGGCCGGTGGCGGGGCGCGTCAGCGGTGACCAGCCGCCGCTAGCACGGGGGTCCACCGGCCCTGAGGAGCCCCGCCGCCAAGCCGGCCGGCACCGCCCGCAGGTGAGGCAGCCTCAGTCCTCCAAGCCGACAGAGCTCGTGGGCAGACGGCACGAGGCCACGTGACACCGACACGTGAGGGGTCAGGACCACAGTACAGCCGCGCCGGTGACCAGACAGTCTAGCCGGCCGGTGTGGTGTGAGTCGCCTCTTCTAGGCGTTCTCTCGGGAGGCAAAACAGACAGCGCAGACAGAAGCAAGACAGACAAGACGCAAGACAGAAGCCATCCGGACAGCCGTCTCGGAGCGCTCCTGGCCACATTGGCGAGCTTGACGAGTTAAAGGCGTGACGCCCGCCTGTCGTCCACTCATGACTCCGAGGTGCCACACATCACCGGCCACGTGCCACGCATAGCCGCCCAGCGGCTGCGTCGCCTTTCATGAGGGCAATTCCATCACATAGCAGCGCACTGGCCGGCAGTCCGCCTTTACAGCTCATAGCAGCGACAACGAGGCCTCGTGAACCACTTCTCGAGCTTCAAGCCCTCCAGGTTAGAGCCCTTAAATCAACGACGCCTGTGATATAGGGGGCTATTCAATGCTGTGGCGGAAGGTATTAAGCCAGTTTACGACTTCCTAATGTTTAAGACGGGAACGCCGCGGCTATCCCGACCCCGTTACCGTGTCCAGTGCGCCGACGCTGCTCAAGGTCTGGACACGGGCCAGGTTTCATAGCCGATGTTTAAAAACATGCCACCCATCTCACCCGACGTTTGATATCGCATGTCACGCTCATTTGCCGTACTTTCGGGTCTTAGTTGTGAAAAATAAACCAATCAACGCGCGTGTTATGGGTGGCAGGGGACCCTATTGCTGTTGGAGTTTTCCCAACGCACGATGTAAATCCTGGAGAGGCGGGCTCTGATTTTGTGTTGACGTGCGCCACGCCGAAGCCGCCGCGGTGCTCGGCATCGCCAGATCTGGGCCATCTTGCATACCAAAGACGTCCTTGAAGGGATATATCGGGTCAGCCGTCGAAGATAAGCGGCCAGAGCCGCACCCTCGCACCACACCGCAATGGGCGTGTCTCTGCCGGCGCGGTCCGACCCGCCGACAGTCGCGAGGAAAGAGGACGGCCGCCCGCGACAGGCACCGTGAGGACGCCGCGGTGCATGGAGCGGAGCACGACAGTGGGCTGGGGGGGGGGGGGGGGGGGGCGAGCTGATCCGCCTGTCCACCGGCTGACCGCCGAGATCAACCTGCACCCATCAGCCGCCGGACAGGGGGCGGGCGGGGCCACCGCTGTCCGGCGCAGAAAAACAGCCGACACAAAAACATGTGCCAGCGATGCCCCCGTTGTCATGGTAATGAATGCAAGCATGGCAACTTTTTGTGCAGACGCTTAGAACAGCCAGGGCCTATCATTAAAGTGTTTTGGTCAGTAATTCTGGACCCATTTCGGTGTTTGTTCTGTCCGAGCGAGACGCCCGGAGGCATCCCGGGGCACGGCGGCGACCTCCAGAAGTGCCGCA